GGCCGCACCAGGCACCGCCACCAGGCAAATACACGCACATGCAATTGGCTGCTCGCAACATGCTTCGACGGGGCACTACCTCTGCCTCCCGAACTCAGCATTGTCTTTGTCTATTCGGCCATTCCAGGACACACACACACGCAGCATTCTTGGGGCTAAGCAAGGAGGATAAATACACGGAGGAAAGAGAATACGAAGGAGAGGAGAGGAGAGGAGAGGAGAGGAGAGGAGAGGAGAGGAGAGAGAGAGGAGAGGAGAGGAGAGGAGAGAGGAGAGGAGAGGAGAGGAGAGGAGAGGAGAGGAGAAGGAAAGGAAAGGAGGAGAAGAGGAAGAGGCAGAGGAGGAGAAGAGAAAGGGAGAAGATAAGAGGAAGAAGAAGAGAAAGAGAAGATAAGAGGAAGAAGAAGAGAAAGAGAGAAGATAAGAGGAAGAGAAAAAGAGAAGATAATAGGAAGATAAAAGAAAAGAGAAAGAGAGAAGAGGAAAAGAAAAGAAAGAGAGAAGATAAGAAGAACAGGAAGAGAAAGAGAATGGACAAGAAGAGTAAGTAAATTTGGGGTGTTCAAAATAAAATAACCATAAAAATCGGAATGGGAGGCAGAAGCGTGGGAGGAGAGAAACAGGGAAGGGAAAATAACAAGAGCAAATCGAGAAGAGATGGAGAATGGTCTGGAATGAAAATGGGAAAAAATCTAAATGAAAAAAAAAAAATGGAAAAGACATGAAAAATGAAAAAAAAAATATGGAAAAGACATGAAAGTTGTAATGAAAAAAAAACAAAATATGGAAGAGACATGAAAGTTGAAATGAAAAAAATCCAAAACACCAGAAAAAAAACAAAAGGAAAATAAACAGAAAGCATTTTGTCATCCAGGAAACAGAAAGAAGAAAAAAACGAAAACAAAAGAAGTCGAATGCACCGGAAGAGAGAAGGAGAATACAAAATCAAAGCAGAAAAGAACAACGAAAGAAAAAAAAGAAAAGAAAAGAAGAGAATAAAAGCGAGAAGAGGCAAAAGGAGGAGAGAAGAGAAGAGAAAAGGAAAACAATTCCGATAAGAAAAGAAACACGCTAGCCCTCGCGATTTGGACGCGTCCGAATCCCTCCATTCGTTGGGCTTACATCCTTAGAAATAAAAGTTTTCACAAAAGGGAGAAAGAAAAGCAAAAAAAGAAGGAAAAGAAGAAGAAAAGAGCAAAGTCGAGCTGCCAAGATGAAGATGCAAAAAGTCACTCAAAGCCATTGGAAGGAGCTGCACACTTGACACGAGGAGGAAGAAGAGGAGGAGGAGGAGGAGGAGGAGGAAGAGGAGGGGGAGGAGGAAGAGGAAGAAGAGGAGGAAGAGGAGGGGAAGGAAGAAGAGGAGGCGGAGGAGTAGGAGGAAGAAGAGGAGGAGGATGACGACGACGAAAACTAGGATGACAAGGAAGAGAAAGAGGAGGAGGACGAGTCAAAGAGGAGGTTAAGGAGGACGACCCAAAGAAAGAGGAAGAGAAGGAGTACGACGACGACGACGCGTCAAACAAAAAGAAAGAAAGAAAAGACACAAACAGGAACCAGAACCCGACGAGGACCCGACCCCGGAGGCCCGAGGAGAGGGAAAATCCGGAGGAGGAGGCCCGAGTCTGAAGGGGCTGCTGAGCGGCTCGAGAATGAGGCCGAGTGGGAGAAGAGGACGGGATTACATTCGGAGGAAGGAGAGGGAAAGGCTCCAGGCGAGGATTACACCTTGGTTCGAGGAGGAGGCGCTGCGAGGGAGGCCTGTCATACCCGAGGTCGAGTATTGTGTCTGTGGGGCGGTGGACGCGGGGGGAAAATTTAGGGTCGCATGAAACGTCTTTTCCCTCCATAAACATATTCTAAAGGGCCAATATATATCTATTTAAGTTAACGTAAAGATAGTTTGGGTCAAATGAAGCGTTTTTTGCCCCCAATAAATCGTTCTTAAAAGCCCAATCACTCAGGGATTTAAGTGTAAAAGACAAAAAAAGCGAAGGTAATCTAATTCTTATTCTCTCTCTCTCTCTTCTTACCCTCGTCATCGCGGATATCCAATCAATGGCGCAACATTTTTGTCTCGTTGCACAAGTAATCAACCGTGGCTCAAGCTTCATTACTTAATCATTCCCCAATCACTGATAATTGGCGAGTTTCGTGTGACTAACGTCAACAACCCCCCCCCCCCCACTGCAGGACGCGAGACACCTTCGGATATAACAAGCCGATTATAACAAGCTCAGCAATTCCAGTAATTAAATTTGGACGATGGTATTCGCTGACGATACCATTCTTTTTCTCCTCGACTCACCAACGTAAGCTCAGGACGAGAGAACAATTCCGCAACACCAGATGCAAGAGCCTTCTCGGGACCGGACGCGAAATGCTGAACGCCACCGAAGTGAGAAAACCTCATACCATACATCCTGCTGTACAGATTCCTTCCTCCTCACTTCGGAGAGAGAAAAAAATGTACAGCGGGAAACCAACCACCTTAATGATA